CTCAGTTGTTTCCTTGCCGTGTTTCCTGAACTGCACGTTGACTGTCGAATCGGGGTTCCCAAATTCTGCGAAATTTGCCGCTGACTTATTCCACCATTTGCTTGACCAACTATCCTTCCTCTAACAAAATCTGACAATTCGAGAGAACCTTGAGCTCTAGGCATGTTGTAGCACAAGATAATTAGTGTGTGGACCATTTTCATTTATATAGTGTTCTGTGAACACAAATTAGTTAGCATAAATCAGTTAAATGACAAAAAATTAGGTGTCTATTTACTTGTGACCACTCAGTGTACAACATTTCGACAAGGTTTTGTCATCATAAGGTACCTGATGATGACAAAACCTTGTCCAAACGTTGTACACTTGCTGTTATGTTAAACTTATATTAAAGTTTTTCTTCATTACCCATTCAAGCCATCTCCAACCATTATTAATGTGTACTATGTAGTGCACTTGAGTATCTAATTGACACAGAAATTAAGATTAAGTACCATGGTGCAAGAAACCACAAGAGGTGTGTTAGAAATACATTTCATAATGAAGTTCAAAGAAGATACTGAAGTCCATGAAACCCTAAGTATGATATTGAAGGTCATTAACTTTGTTCTAAAAGGAATAAATGGTCAATAATAAAATATTAGCAATGCTGATGAATAAATAAACATTTTATGAATATATATGATTTCAAAATCAACAAGAATCAAGCAAATTTAAAAAAAAACATAGCACAGACTACAGAATAAAGATGGTGAAATGGCAGTTACAGCTTGTTTGGGCAGTTATTAAGTCATAAGAGATGAAAACTAATATTTCTATAAAAAAAAAATTGCATATGAGGGCAACTGTTTACCTTAAATTTTCTTTATCTTAAACATGAGAACAGAGGTTATATAACTGTAACTATTAATTTGTAAGTTTAGATACTAATTTGAAGAGATACTGTTTGAAATTTGTTGCTTCATTTCGATAAATAAAAATATTTGAGAGATAAAGTATTAGTTTTGTAGAACAAAATTGTGTAGAATGTTTCGTAAGATAAATTAATCTTTTGCTGGATAAAAAGACAATCCTTATTTCAGATGTATTAGGTCATCAAGAAATTAATGTTACGTTTTTGGAACACACTCATTAACCACCCCAAAAACAATATACATCATGTATAATAGTTAAACGAACCACTTAAACATCATGTTAGTATAGCCTATATAATGAATAAAGTTTAGTATACTCTAATCCCTTTTTAGTGATGGCACACGACGAGACACACATTCAGCATTTAATGCTAGTTGAATACAAGAAGGGAAAAAACGCCTCTGTAGCCACAAAGAATATCAAAGAAGTTTATGGAAGTGTTTTGAACGTTCGTAAGTTTCAACGATTGTTCAGCAAATTTCGTTCAGGTGACTTTAGCCTTAAAACTGTGATGGCAGGAGCGAACATGTTGGAATTGATATTGATGCTCTGAAACACTTGTTGAGTCTAACCTAAGGCAACACACTCGTGAAATGTTCCCGAAATTGCATGTTTCTCATGAAACAATACGTAAACATCTAGACAATATTGGAAAACTCCATAAAGAAGGTGTTTGGATGCCTCACGAACTCTCCAATGATCATCATTTCCAAAGTGTGAACGTTGCTTTGTCTCTTCTGGCATGTAATGCACGTGAACCATTTTTGGACAAAATTGTCACCGGTGATGAAAAATGGATTCTCTATGTGAATATTAAACACCAAAAACAATGGCTCAGTCCTAGACAAAAACCACTTCCGACCCAAAAACCTGGACTCCATCCACAGAAAGTGATGCTTTGCATTTGGTGGGACATCAAAGGAATAATTCATTACCTCCTCAATCCACAGCAAACTATCACTGCAGAGATCTATAGTCAGCATCTGGAATGTTTAAATCAAGCCCATCATCAGAAATGCTCTTCCCTCGTCAATCGGAAAGGTGTTCTTCTCCACGACAATGCACATCCACATGTGGCACGTTTGACGCAGCACAGATATGGCACCATCAAATTACCATCTTTTTGGTTTGCTGCAACACCATCTTAATGGGAAAATGTATGCAAATGTGGAATGTTAACTAGAGGACATCAACATGTTTTTTGCTTCAAAGCCAAGTGATTTCTTGACAACTTGGCATTGACAACTTGATTGTAAGATGGAAAGCATCATCGATAAAAATGCAGACTGTTGCATTTAATAAATTTTTTGATGTATAAGTTGTTTGGGTTTCTTCATCTAAAAAAGCAACATTAATTTATTGTTGACCTAATTGAATGATGTGACACTAAGAAAAAAACTTAGGATCTACACAAAAGCTAGTTAAATTATTAATTTTAAGACTGTTTGCAAATCAACACTTGCTCTAATGAGATTTCAGTTTGAGGAAATCAGAACTTTCTGGCATTACTAAAATCCTCTGAAGACTGATTCAATAGCACAGGTTTTTGAATAATCACATTTTTGTTTTTTGTGACATGTTTTAGTAAAGGTGAGAATTACAGTGCTTTGCACAGTAGTTTGTAAATAATAATGTTTATATATCTTTTATTTCCAGATCAGTGCCAGTGATAAGCTTATGTCTCTGTTTGAAGGTCTGTATAACAGAAAACTGTTAGCCAGGTTCGTAGTGGATGAAGCTCATTGTGTTAGTCAGGTAAAATTACATATTAAGCATGTTAACATCTTCTTATTGTTTGTGTTTATCATACATTTCACAGTATTTCCTGATATAAAATGACATCAAAATTAGATGTTGGTTAAATATTAGGGTGACTGTCAAATGATATTGAAGACAACTTGCTTTACACTACTGAAACCTTTTTTTTTATCAAATTTGTATGTAAAGAATTTGTACGGGTTCTTTCTATATGCTATTAAAATTATTTTAAGAATTGGGCTTGGAATAATTCCAAAACATACCATCTGCTGACACTTTAGCTATTCCTCAGTCTTCAAGGTTTCTACCTCTTTGCCCATCTAAGCATTGAACTCACTTAAAGACCTCAGTCTTTTATACCCCACTTGAATGCCCTTGACAATATCTAAGTTGCAAAACTCACTGCCAACAACAACACGCCCTCTATCCAGGTACCTTACATAAACACCTCTTTCAGGTAATGTAATCACTTTTTTCCGACAAAGTGTTTGGCACAGGTTTCTATACTGGCGTGCTGTGATTGTTAACGTTTTTCATTTGTGACTTTCAGTGTCAATCTCTGTTTTCTACTGTGAAAATTTATTATATTTTCCTTTTTTTGGCCATAATTCCCAAGTTAATGTTTCCACCACAGAGGGTGACCAGACCTCCCCTATTTCACCTCTGCTATTTGGCATTTGTCAACAGTCGGGGGAGAGGTCACTCTCAGTTGAGGCTGTCTGTGATACATTCTATTTTGAGATGGAGACATATATGCAGACTAGAAGTGTCTCTGGGGGTTCCAAGGCAGCTTTTGCAAATGATCCTGGACATGCTGGGGAGAATTTAGAAACCCTTTTTCTGGCTCCTTTGTTTACCAGGTCGGCCCCTATAGAAGACTATCTAGTTCAATCACTTCCTGCTCCTTTTCTTCAGTTGGTTAATCGAGTTTGTGAGGTTTTGAGGTTATCCCCTATTGCTTTTGAGTCTAATCCTTCCTTGTTGTCAGAAAGGATGGCAAGTGACTACTTAGTTTTTCCTCTTTCTCCAGATATTGCTGTTCATGCTGAGAGATCTGCTAATCAGTTATGTAAAGGGATAGCTATTCTTTGTCCTCCATGTTTATCAGAACAGCATGCCTTGGCTTTTCACCATCAGGAAGAGGTATACTTATATTCTCAATGACTGGACCCCTTTTGGACATGTGGGGTTCCAGATTGGAATCTGTGATTACCTTAAACAGATCACAATTTTCTCGAATTACCTGGCTCTCACAACAGTCCTGAGATATTTATCTTTGCACCAACTTTTGTCTGAAGCCTATCATTTTTCTCATCACCAGTTTGAGGACGAGATGGGACCTTTGCTGATGATTGTCTGCCTCAGTTCTTTCTTTAGTTTCCTGGCTTCATTATTGCTAGTTATTGGGTAGAGATGCCTTGTTGGAGGGTGTTTGTATACCATCTACTGCCCTCTGGGAATTATGGGAGGCGCTATTTCTTCATCTCTAGTTGTTTGCTGGAGTTCCAGAAATCTTGGAATTATGAGAGATGCTGCCCATTTACATTCTTTGTTATTGCCATTGGCCTCTAGTCTTTCTTTGGCTCCAACTGGTAGTTCAGGAATGTCCAGCTGTTGTGTTTCCTGACCCCTGACTTCAGTTCCCCATTCTGTTGGTTCCTACAATAGAATCTGTCCTTATCTTTGTGAGTCTTCTGCTAGGACGGATTGGCGCCAATGTCATCGGTGACTACAATATACTGGATGGGGCCTGTGGGAGGACAATTACATTGTTTTCTCAACAGCTGGATTTTCTTCACCACAGAACATGGGTACTCCATGTTCTGGAGTCAGGGTTGGACATTCAGTTTACATTTTCACCGATTTTATCCACCCAACTTGTTGTTTTTCACCTTCAACAGATCTGTGGCAAGTGGAACTTTGCTTTCAAGCCATCAGAGAGTTATTAGACAAAAAAGACCCAGAAAGTGCCCAAGAGATTGTCATCCAATTATCGATCTGTCTCAACTCAATCAATGCCCTTGAAACTCATTGGAATTCTCAACTGCAGTTATTTTGGTCCCCAGTACCTCATCCTCAAGCTTTAGCAATAGATGCATTTAGTCAAAACTTGATGGGTTTGTGTCTGTTGCCCAGAGTTCTAGCTATGGTTTGTTTCACTCCTTGTCTGGTTCTTTTGGTAGCACCGTTTTGGCCAACTCAAACATGGTTTCCTCTTCTTCAGTATCTGCAGGTGTGTCCACATTTACCACTTTCTCTATGGCTATCTCTGTTGCGACAACCTCGATCGGACATTCTACGCCTGCTGGAAATTATGTGGGCCTTTGCCAGACATAGGGGCTTAACGTCTAAAGTTACGTTATACTTAACTAAATCTCTACGTCGACCTACTATGGCCATTTATCAACGAAAATGGCGCTTATATTGTCAGTGGTGTATAAAGATGAAATTGAACCCCCTTCATCCAAAGGTGTCTACCATATCACATTTTTTGACTTGGATTTTTGATAGAGGTTTGGCTTCATCTACTGTGGCCTTATATAAAGCATTCTTATCAACTACTTTTCGATATTCCAAATATAAGAAGGTTTTTGACTTCTCATTTATATCTAACCTTTTAAAATCCTTTCTCATCCTTCAGCCCAAACAGCCTTTTCAATTACCTAATTGGGATGTTAAGGTTGTTTTACATGCATTGTCTCATCACCCCTTCCAGCCTTTAGCCTCCTGTTCTTTGTGTGACCTTTTAATTAAGGTATATTCTCTGTTGTTGGAATGTGGAAATTGTCGATTGGAATTATTTGCAATACACATACAACGAACTCTATCATTCTACCTATATCTTGCTTTATCATGATAGGTCCCTCCTTCTGAAGACTGGCAGCTAGAGAGGGGGAAAAATCCTTCTCACCTATTCACTTGCCAGCCATTTCTCACCTTTGTGACTGCTTGGACCCCGATTGTTTGTATGTCCTGTCAGTACTCTCAGGTGTGATGTGGCTTGTACTAACTCATTTCAAGGTAATAGGAATAGACTGTTTATTCCACGAGATCCTTCGGTTTCCCGGGATTTATCCCCCATTACCTTAACCAGGTGGCTTCGAAAATTGATTCGTATTGCCAACTCTGGTCTATCTTTACTGGAGAGGAAGCTGCTGCAAGTCACTTCTCACCAGATTCATCACATATCTGACATTGGCTGCCCGTTTGGATTGCCCTCTAGGTGTGGGCTGGTATGTGGACTTCTCCTAATACTTTCCTCTCTCATTACTTGCATAATCTGGCACTTTCCTCTTCTGAATGTTTTTGACTACCACTGTGACTATTTTGACTACATTCTCTAGATTTTAACAAAGGGTGAGTAATTTTCTCTGTCATATCTTCTCTTTTTTTCCAGGGTCCCTTTACTTTTTAGCTGGATTCCACTCTCTGGTGAGTTTTGCCCTGACAGGTGTGCTTTTATCATTATAATTCCACACTAGCAACCAATTTCACTATCCTTCCTACTGGTTGCAACAGGCTCTGTAGAAATGAAGTGTTCCATAAGACCATCTAGGCACATTTCAGACAGTATTATCACATTCTCATGGACAATCATGAGTAAAGCTAAAGGGGATCTTGCCTGTCCCTGCCGATCACCAAGTTAAATAAATTGGGGTCAGTTTGGTTTTAAAGATTTAGGAAACTTGGTTCACCTATTGCACTGTTTCCAGAGAACTGTTCATCAGGACTCTCAAATTCACTCCCCCCCCCCCAAATTTTACAAGTGGAGCAAGGGATTCCTTACCAGAGTGTTCAAGTGTGTTCCTCCATTCTTAGAGAAGAGAGCAAAGCTGGGAGTCCCTGGATGTATTTCTCAGATGTTGGTAGGAGTGGCACCAGCCTCTGTGGGAGCCTACTCGAAATACCGGTTCAGATTTCATTTTACGCTATTTGGTTGGGGGTGTACATGGCCTTTCTTATGAACAATGTTCAATTGTTTAATGTTCATGGATGGAGGTCCATTATCATCTCATAATTCCGAATGTGAAGTGGTCCCTTCCCAGCACTTAAAGAAGATATGCTCTGATAGTAAGAACTATGACCATCACATTAATTCTTTGAAACAGACTATGACTGAAAGAGGTTATGAACAAAACACTATCACCCTACAAGTTGAGAAAGCTAACAATATACCACGTATATCTGCCTTGGAACAATTACCTAAAACCAATTCTTCTTGTGTTCCACTGGTTATTACCTATCACCCAAAACTAAAATATCTACCCTGGCTACTAAAGAAACACTTTTACCTCTGTCAACTTGATCAATTAAAACATATTTTATGGAAGTTCCTGTCGTTTCTTTCAGAAAGTATAAAACTTTGCATTCACACTTAGTTCACGCTAAAGTAAACTTTAAGCCAACACCAGGTGGAAGTCATGCAGGAAATGGGCAAATTTTCCGATAAAGCCAACCAAAAGCAGTTTAAAATCACCAATTCCATAACCTGCTCTACAAAAAATGTTATTTGCTTAATCCAATGTCGAAAATGCAATTTCCAGCATGTAGCTCAAACCAAAACAACTATACGGGAACGTTTTAATAACCCTAAATCAACAATAAAAACAAACAAAGAACTTCCAGTTGCAAAACACTTTAACATGCCTGGACATTCTCTTGAAGACATTAAACTTATGGGTATAGAGACAAATTTTACACCTAACAGAAACAGGGAAATTAAAGAAGCTTATTGGATAGCACTGTTAAATACTGTAATGCCAAATGGTATCAATCTCAATCCTGGGGTTGTTGACCTTTGCAAGTCTCTGAAAAGATTTTCAAAACTAAATTCATGATTAAACTTGCTTTACATTATTAGTATTATTCTTCCTTAAATTTCTCTCTATATATTGGTTTGATTTCCTATATATTGAGCTACGTTATTATTTTCTCTATTTCCCACTGCCTTTTGCCATTATTTAATTTAAATTCATTTTAACTTTTGATTTTATCTTTATAGAAATTAGTTGAAAATTCTTATAACTATTATCCCACATAAGTCTTTTATGAACTGTACACACCCCTTTGGCACAAACCTAAATCTGACAC